TACAATAGCGTTATGTCCCAATAAACTCATCATACACTGAAAATACTGTAAGTCGAAAATACATTTAATCCACCTAACCTAGGGAACATTATAGCTTGGCTGAACCGACCTGAAGCGGATCAGAACGTGTGTCGGTTGTTCCAACAGCTGATGGGAGCTGAGGCGCTCAGCCACTGTGCAGATCTCCAGAGAGGGCTGTACAGCATAGCGCTAGCCCCAGAAAAGGTCCAAATCCACAATTTGAAGTGCGGTTTCTACTGAACGTGTATCACCTTTGCACCATCATAAAGCCAAAAAGTTGTAAACCAAACTGTCATATGTTGGATATGATCTGCAGTCTGGGATTTCTCTTCCACTTCTGAAAGGGCTTACAGAGTGAAAAAGAGTAAGGAAAACTACTTTCGAAAGAATTTTTTTTTCTGTGTGTGAAAAATATCTGAAGAAAAAAGCCCACCATTGATGGAACGGTAGTTGCAAGCTGCAGACGGTACCCCTTGCTGTGAGGTGTGTGCCCTTGGCACCCTCGGCATCTTCTGGAGCCTGACTCAGTAGCACCCAGCCAGCCGCACAGACACTGTCTGGGAGCAGGGTGCATCTGCAGAACCCTAGACCCACTCCAGACCAACTGAACCAGAATCTGGAGTTTAACAAGGTCCTCAGGGGGTTCGTGTGCCCATCAAAATGTGAGAAGCATTGTTCTAGAACACTGGTTCTCACACTTGGCTGGTGCATTAAAGTTGCCTGGCACCCACCCTGAGGGATTCTGATTTAACTGGTTTGAGTTTAGGGCCAGGTCTGGTGATCCCCAAGTGATCCTAATGTGCAGTCAGGTTTGAGAACTCCTCTTCTAGAGGCTTCTGGGGCAGATGTTTTTCTTTGTTAGGTTATGTTGACTCTGTCATCCCAGAGGCCTTGCCTGGAGTCTTATAACTGTGGCCCGATGGTTCCAGGTATTCTCTCGGTGCTGGTTGCCCTGATGGCCGGAAAGGCAGAGGTTAAGTATAACCCAGAAGTCATCCAGCCACTGGAGATAGCTCAGCTCATCCAGGACTTGGGCTTTGAGGCAGCAGTAATGGAAGACTACACAGACTCAGATGGCGACCTCGAGCTGATCGTAAGTGCGGCCGGTGGCTGGGCAGGAGCTGGGGGCAGGAGCTGGGGCCTCAGGGCTGCAGGCCTCCGACAGGGGCCAGGAAACTTCTCCCGTTTTACACATATCCTGTGTGTTATTGGGGTTTTGTTTGTTTTGTTTTCCTTCGAAGCCAACAACGATGACCTGTTCATTTTGTGAGGGAATGTTGGGGCTGTCACAGTCATAGGGCTGCACCCCACTAGGCGCATTCACAGTGCGAGGCGGAGGGGGAGGTGAGCGGAGGGAGTGTGGGAAGAAGAAGAATGTAAATGGCAGCTGTCTAGAGCTTGGGTTTGAGGGTGTTGAACCTGAACACATTCCAAAAAGCCCAGAGGCGTCTTGAGGCCAGAGGAGGTGAGTCAGCGTGGTAGCCGGGGCCACCGGTGCTATCACAGCCCAACTGTAGGCACAGGGGTGTCTGGAAGGTAACTGGCGACCAGTGTTCCATAGCAGCCACCCTGTGGTGGCGACCAAGGGTGGATGCCAGGGTGGTGGGGGAGGCTGTTATTTGCTGTCTGCCCATGTTACCAGCTGTACATGACAGCACATCATCGCAATACTGGGCATGTCTAGCATTTCCACTACGCTGTATTCACAAGCACTTCTGTATAAAGCTCTTTTTGTGTAAATAAAGGGAGGCTTAGGACAAGGAATTGAGTAATGCCGTTGTACCGGGGAGGAAGGGTCTTACTCCTTTACCATGTTTAGTCACTGCCATTAGCGGTAAGTAAATGTTTGAGTACTAAGGATGCAAGTGGCACTTTGAGCTCTTGATAAGGGGCATTCTTTGTCGAGCAAACCCTCTGCACTGGATGGGCCTCCCGGTGTGTGGTCAGGCGAAGTGTTCTGCTCTCCGGCTTCCAGCCCTCGGCACCCCTGAGGCCGGAGCACAGCCCCCGCTGCAGACCCCAGCCCCGATGGGGATGCCTCTGCCGGCTCAGACCACTGTGGAAAATCTAGATCATGAATGTTATTGGGAAAGGTGAAAACATTGTTTTTTGAATACACGTTTTAATCTTTATTTTGCCAATAAGAGAAAAAGATGGTAAAGAAATGGGTAAGACAAATGCATAACTAAATTATTACTTCGTTATACGTATATGTATTTGTCTGTAGGTCCAAATGACAAACAATTTATTCATTGAGTTAATGGGTTTAATTGTGTTGAGAAAAGATAACATATATAAAAGACGTATGACATGGTTTTTGAGCTTTTTATGCAGGTGTGGGATCCCGGTTATGAATAGTTCCTAAAATATATTCTATTTGAATTTTAATCTCCACAAGATATTCTTGCACAGAATTGAACATCCAAAGAGTATCGATGACCTACTAAGCACTGCAGAACTTTGAACAAAGCAGAGCTAGAATTGTGGAGAGGTTTTATCAGAGTCAAGATTCATTGTCTGGGTTCCAATTTTATTAGAGCTGCCTAAAGTATTTTAAATGTTCCAGATTTTTAAGTGTCAGGGTAATATTTGCAAATTACAACACTCTTGCCATGTAATGCTTGTTAAAACCTAAAGGAATTGAATTACAGTAGCTATGGTAATATATAATGTATTCTTTTTTTTAAATTTAAATTCAATTAACATATTGTGTATCATTAGTTTCAGTGGTAGAGTTCAGTGATTCATCAGTCTTATATAACACCCAGTGCTCATTACATCACGAGCCCCCCTTAATGTCCATCACCCAGTTACCCCACCCCCCACCCCTATCCCCTCCCCTCCAGCAACCCTCAGTTTGTTTCCTATGACTAAGTCTCTTACGGTTTGTCTCCCTCTCTGATTTCATCTTGTTTTATTTTTCCCTCTCTTCCCCTATGATCCTCTTTTGTTTCTTAAAAAATTCCACATGAGTGAAATCATGTGATAATTGTCTTTCTCTGATTGACTTATTTCACTCAGCGTAATACCCTCTAGTTCCATCCACATCATTGCAAATGGCAAGATTTAATTTTTTTTTTTTGATGGCTGAGTAGTAATCCATCGTATATATATATATACCACATCTTCTTTATCCATTCATCTGTCAGTGGACATCTGGGCTCTTTCCATTTAGCTGTTGTGGATGTTGTTGCTGTAAACATTGGGGTGCAGGTGCCCCTTTGGATCACTACATTTGTATCTTTGGGGTAAATACCTAGTAGTGCAATTGCTGGGTCATAGGGTAGCTCTATTTTCAGCTTTCTGAGGAACCTCCAGACTGTTTTCCAGAGTGGCTGCACCAGCTTGCATTCCCACCAACAGTGTAGGAGGGTTCCCCTTTCTCCGCATCCTCGCCAACATCTGTCGTTTCCTGACTTGTTAATTTTAGCCATTCTGACTGGTGTGGGGTGGTATCTCATTGAGGTTTTGATGGATTTCCCTGATGCCGAGCGATGTTGAGCATTTTATCATGTGTCTGTTGGCCATTTGGATGTCTTCTTTGGAGAGATATCTGTTCATGTTTTCTGCCCATTTCTTGATTGGACTATTTGCCCTTTGGGTGTTGAGTTTGATTAAGTTCTTTATAGATTTTGGATACTAGCCTTTTATGTGATATGTTATTTGCAAATCTCTTCTCCCATTCTGTTGGTTGTCTTTTGGTTTTGTTGACTGTTTCCTTTGCTGTGCAAAAACTTTTTATCTTGATGAAGTCCCAGTAGTTCATTTTTGCCCTTGCTTCCCTTGCCTTTGTCGATGTGTCTAGGCAGAAATTGCTGCAGCCGAGGTTGAAGAGGTTGCTGCCTGAGTTCTCCTCAAGGGTTTTGATGGATTCCTGTCTCACATTTAGGTCTTTCATCATTTGGAGTCCATTTCTGTTTATGGTGTAAGGAAATGGTCCAGTTTCATTCTTCTGCATGTGGCTGTCCAATTTTCTCAACACCACTTGTTGAAGAGACTGTCTTTTTTCCATTGGATATTTTTTCCTGCTTTGTCGAAGATTTGTTGACCATAGAGTTGAGGGTCCATTTCTGGGTTCTCCCTTCTGTTCCATTGATCTATGCATCTGTTTTTGTGCCAGTACCCTACTGTCTTGATCATTACAGCTTTCTAATAGAGCTTGAAGCCTGGAATTGTGATTTTCTTCTTCAACATCCCTTTGGCTATTCGGGGTCTTTTCTGGTTCCATACAAATTTTAGGATTATTTGTTCCAGCTCTGTGAAAAAAGTTGATGGTATTTTGTTAGGGATTGCATTGAATGCATAGATTGCTCTGGATAGCATAGATGTTTTAACAATATTTGTTTTTCCAATCCATGAGCATGGAACGTTTCTCCATTTCTTTGTGTCTTCCTCAATTTCTTTCATAAGTGTTCTGTAGTTTTCTGAGTATAGATCCTTTGCCTCTTTGGTTAGGTTTATTCCTAGGTTTCTTACAGTTTTTGGTGTAATTGTAAATGGGATCGATTCCTTAATTTCTCTTTCTTCTCTGTCATTGTTAGTGTGTAGAAATGCAGCTGATTTCTGTGCATTGATTTTATATCCTGCCACTTTCCTGAATTCCTGTATGAGTTCTAGCAATTTTGGGGTGGAGTCTTCTGGGTTTTCCACATAGAGTATCATGTCATCTGCAAGGAGTGAGAGTTTGATTTCTTTGCTGATTCAGATGCCTTTTATTTCTTTTTGTTGTCTGATTGCTGAGGCTAGGACTTCTAGTACCATGTTGCACAACAGTGGTGAGAGTGGGCATCCTTGCTGTGTTCCTGACCTTAGGGGGAAAGCCCTCAGTTTGGTGAAAAACATTTATTGAGCAATGTTCGAAGCAGTCTCAATAGTTGTATCATCATCATCACACGTTCAGAAACTATCTGTAGACATTTTATGTCTGTATTTAATGAGCATTTTGGGAAACGTTGACCACTGATGCTCAAAAGAGTGACTTGTCTGGCTTGCCTAACACATATTACAAGGATGGCATGTCTCATTTCAGACTCCCTTTCTCACATCCATATGCACAGCGTGGCAGAAGTGGCAAAACAGAGAGGGTAGGGTGGCTTACAAAAGCTCCTCACTGTCAGAGCTAGAAGTCAATGTTGGTCTGTCGCCATCTGCTTTGTGACTGGCTATGTCTCTTGTCCCTGAGTTGGGGAAGAACGACTGTTTACCTGCCCTCAGCCCCTGGGGGAGCATCCTGGAGGAAAATCTTACACATGGGGTCTGGAGGTAGGAGTCCAGAGCCTTGGGAACGATACCGTGGAAAGAGGAAGGGCTTGTGGCTGCCTGTTGACCCCACTCCCTGTGTGCCTTCGATGGGATCCTCTCAATCCCGAGTTAGTAGTATTTTTGTCATCCTGTGCGGCAGATCACGGGGATGACCTGCGCGTCCTGTGTTCACAACATAGAGTCCAAACTCACAAGGACAAACGGCATCACCTATGCCTCTGTGGCCCTTGCCACCAGCAAAGCCCACGTGAAGTTCGATCCTGAAGTTATCGGTGCACGGGATATTGTCCGAATTATTGAGGTAAGTCATTCATTAAAAAACATTATACAAACTAATGTAACGTGTCTCGACTCTACTTCAATTTAAAAAAATATGCCCACTTTTTAAAAAACAGTGATGTATAATCATTGTGGAAAAATGAGAAAATACAGCTAACCAAAAAATTAAAAAGAAAAGAAAAAGGTCACCTAACCTATCCTTCAAGCCTTCCCACGGAAGTAGGGGTGAATCATTTTAAAATAAACTGAAATTAAGTAAATATTAGATAATCTGAGGGTGAAAACCAGTGAATTCCTGAATTCCCTGAGAAACATCAATATCGGTAAGCTACCTGGGCACATGGGGTTAAATTACCTAATTGTAATTATAAAATATTATTTATGTCTGTACCAAGTATCTGTAGACCAAAGGATTATTGGTAATGAGAGGAGTTACACTCATTTTACCACATTTTCAAGCTGGGCCTGCTTGACGATGAGACAGTTTAGTTGTTTCTCGTTTGGAAAATCAGTTAGAATAGTTTTCACACACTGCCTCCCTCTCTTCCCTCCCTCGCGTTGTCCACAGACAGTCCATTTCCTTTGTAAGGTCTGTTGATGGCACACCATAAGAGGGTGAGCGTTAGTGGTGATCTGAATGGGTTACCACAGTCCAGACTGAACTAGGTTAACTCACAAGATGAACTGATGGTCAGGATAAACCAAGTTTAGCAGGAAGTGCTAATGCAGGGAAACCTCTGGTAGCAGCCTCAGTGTTGTCTTTCGTTTTCTCTTCGTTGTGTGTGTGTGCCGAAGAGACAGGTTGTGTGTTGTGTGGCTTGGCGGAGCCCCCTGATGTGTGTTACTACTTGTCCTGCCGCTGCTGCTATGACCCCCCATCTCAGAGGCAGACAGCACAGCTCCTCTGTCAGGTGGGGAGAGATCCCCGGGGGGGGTTAAGTGACTCCGCTCACTGGTATCCAGCTAAAGCTTGCAGGACCGGCCCTCAGACCCACACCTCACAGTTCTAAGCCCAGCGGCCTTTCGATTTTTGCCACAGCACAGGCCTTACAGAACAGTAGTGAGGGGGCACTGGTGAGGCCAGGGGAGCAGACTGGTGCGCCATCGGCGGGAGGGTCCCAGGGGTGCTCGGACCACATCTCCGTCACCTTCTTACTCCACATGCCCCTCCTGGCTGAGCTCGGTGCAGGAGCATCTCTGTCCTCAGTTGAGGAATATTGCTGATGTCTGGCCCCTGTTTCTGCATCTCTGCTGCCTCCTTCCCTAATCTAATTAAGCCGGTGTTCCTTGTAAGGGGGTTTGTCTTTACACAGTCTTAGATGCTCTTTCTCCAACCGTAACTTTTCATTTTCGTGTGAAATCCCATCATCAGAGTCCCGGGGCCCCTCCTTATATTGTCCTGACCGACAGGACGTGTCCTGGCGGCCTTTCCCGTGTAATTTCGTAAAGGGGTCCGATCAGATGAGGCAGAGAGGGTCAGGGAGCGAGGTGGCGAAAGAATTGCTGGAGGTTATTCCCTGAAAAGAGCCAGCAGATTGCAGTGCGGTGCCCGTCTGGCTTCAGGGGAAGCCTCGGCTTGCCGGTGCCGAAGGAGCCAGGGTCGGCTCGCCGGGGAGAGGCCCAGGCTGGGAGCCCAGACACCTGTTCACTGAGCACGGGGCCTTGGTCTTCTGGTAGCACGATGGCTCTGAGCTGCAGTTTCCTCAGGCCGGGAATGACAGCACCTGACCTGACCACTCCCTAGTTGGGGCTCCTCACACAAGAATTGTGTGTGTATGAATTCATCATTGATCAGCCTCGGGGCATGTTGAAGTTTCTCCCAGAACCTGCTGCCTTTGCCCACAGAGGGACCAGGAGTCGCCATCTGAGGCCAGCCCCTTGGGGATGACACAGTCTGTAAGCATAGATGGTGCTGGACCTCTGATAGGATTTGTAGTGTGATTTGGGTACGGAAGTCATGAGCAGAAAAACCAATACAGCCTTTTGAGGTGATTTTTGATTAACTTTCTAATTTCCAGAGATGTAAAATGCTTTCTACCAATGCATGTTTTAACCAAGTTCTTTCCTCCCTGTTTTCACTTCTCTTTTTTTTTTTTAATAATAAGGAAATCGGCTTTCATGCTTCCCCGGCCCAGAGAAACCCCAACGCGCATCACTTGGACCACAAGGTGGAAATAAAGCAGTAGGTAGAACAGAAAAGATACACTGGTGCTCTTGACCAAGTGTTCCCCCCCCCCCCCCCCCCCCCCCCGCCAGGCCTGACTGCCTCATTCTGTGCTCATGGGTGTCCCTGCTGTCCTGGCTCCCCACAGCACCTTCCACTGAAGAGTTGCCTTTGCTACCCCGTGATGTTAACCTCCTAAAACAGTGCTGTCTGACAGAACTTTCTGCGGTGAGAGAAATGTTCTATACCTGCACTATCCAGGACGCTAGCCACCGGCTATGGAGCAGTTAGTATGACCGAGGAACTGAATTCTTCATTTCATCTTAACTGATTTTAATTTATATTGCCGCTTATGGCTGGTGGCTGACTTACATTGGGAGGAAGAGAGTGGATTTTTTTCTTTCACAGCAGAGTATTTTAAGACTTTATTTGAATGGGTTCTAGAAGTAGGGTCTGAGGGCAGGAACCATGGTCATTGGAAAGAAAATGGCCTGGGAAAAAGGCGGCCTGAGTTCGTTCATTGTTGCAGATGTTCATTTACTCATTCAACAAACACAAGGGCACTGTTGTGTGAAGGGCATGACGCCAGGTGCTAGGGATGAATTGGAGAGGCCCATAGCTGGGCTAGGAATGAGTGGTTGAGCAGTGAATCAAGTGGGTTCACAGGGGTCTGGGAAGCCAACCAGCGGGGGACACATGATCTGAGCCTCGAAGAATGAGTGGAGGTTTGCCAGGCTGTGGGGGTGGGGGCTGGGGGTTGACGTGAGGGTCTTCTAGGGGCATGGAGGCAGGGGGCCTTCAGGGACTCCTGTGATTGCTCTGATCAGCATGCCTGGAGCAGGGAAGGCCTGACAGGAGAGGCACCTGGAAAGCGAGCGAGGGGCTAATTCTCGGGACCCTGGGCGACAAGCTGAGAGTCTGAGACTTCAGTCCTGCGGCCCGCAGTTTGCAGACCGGAGTGGAGGCGTGCTAGAGCTTCCACAACACATGGCGGGAATTTCGTGGATGCTGACGTGAGACCACAGCTGTCACCTGCAACCCCCATGTCAAACTTTGGTGTTCACCAAGATGGCTTTGCAGTTCTCACTGCCTATATTAAGTAATAGTTTAAAAATCAAATGTAAAAGTAAGGTCAGACTAATAAAATTTTGCTTTTATCTGTTTTTACTTGGGAGTCTGTATAAGATTTTATTTTGAACAAAGAGCAGTAGGCAGCCATATGGACCAGGATGTTCCACTTCTTTGGGTTCTCAGTTCTGGGCCTCAGTTGCCCCCCCCTATGGATTAGAGGCAACAGGTCAGCCTCGGACGGGCAGGAGCGTCTGTATATCTCTGGCACATCCCTGCAAAGTTTAAACCTGTAGGTGCTCTCTCGGTGGCTGGTGTCAGGGAGGGAGCCTTCCCTTCGTTTCACACCACTGGTTGTCTGTCCCAGACACGTGACAAAGGCAAATCTGAAACTGAGTCCCCGGGAGGAGACCAGCCCACAATCCCAGTGACAGGTGATACCTAATAGGCTGGTGTCACTGCTTTGCTCTGCAGGTGGAAGAAGTCTTTCCTGTGCAGCCTGGTGTTCGGCATCCCTGTCATGGGTCTGATGATCTATATGTTGGTGCCCAGCAACAAGCCCCACGAGTCTATGGTCCTGGACCACAACATCATTCCAGGACTGTCCATTCTAAATCTCATCTTCTTTATCTTGTGTACCTTTGTCCAGGTACGTATCAGAAAGGGCCAACCTCTGCCCCCCCCCCCCGCCTGTGTGTGGCCAGCAGTTCTCCGCCCTCCCGGGCCAGACACAGCCCTTCAGACTGGCTATCACAGATGTCCTGCAGGGGCTCTTTTCTCTGTCTCACTACTGGCGGGGGTGCGAGACCTGGTTTCACTGTCACTTTCACGGTTGTAGGTGCTCAAACTCCCCCTGGAATAGCAAGCCCTGAGACAGGCCTCCTGAAACTTCTCCTCTAGGGGTGATATTAAGGAGCTAGCTGAGTTGCTGCTGCTGGGAAGTGTGCCCTCCGTCTGTTTTAGAATATAAAATAAAACTCCTGCCTTAATGATAGAATGCTTACTTGAAGACTATCTGAGGGCAATATTTGTGGCCTGAATTTGCTTGTTCTTGTATTTTCTTTTTAATTACAAATGTAAAGTACATTTATTGTAGACAATTCAAACCATGCTGAAGGAGAAGCAGCAAAGGGGAGAATATTCTTTCACTGGAATCATACCCCGCCTCCAGCCCAGTCCTTTTCCAGAGTTACCTCAGTATTATTACTAGTTGGACGTGTATGTTTACAGATCTTCCTCTATGTAGAGAAAATATACATGTGCTTATATATGTAGGTGTGTGTACATATTCACATAATACAGAC